CTCTCTCTCTCTCTCTATCTCTCTCTCTCTCCCACTCTCCTCACCCTCTGCCTACTTAAAGTTTGGTTTTTGGGGTGTACTACCAAATTACAGTGTTTGCACTTGTGGAACCACGAGGGTTATAGCTCTAATGGATTTATAATCTCCGTCTCTGGGACCATCCAAAGTAATTAGCACGCAGGGCTCTAAAAGAAATGATGGTTAGTGAGCAATAAAGCCAGAGCCCATTGCATAAACTGACAGTGGCTCTGACTTGGTTGAAACCTCAAACGTAATTGGGAGACTCGCTGTAGTTATTGTCTTCAATTATAGTGCGGGAAATAAATACTTCAGAAGTGTGGAAAATTTTTTTATCTGTTTCATCATAGACTTGTACCAATTATGTGCACTAATTATAATGGAATACCAGAAATCGGCAGGTTTTCCCTCATACACAGTGGTATTTGTTTCTCGAAGTTTTAAACAAGTTTTCTGGTGCAGCTTTGCACAAACTGCACCAGAAAACTTCCAGTGAGGATTATGAGAGGGAAAGTATTTATTTTGTTCATATTGAATTTAAAATGTTCAGCTCAAGAATATTTACTCTTTTTCTCCTTCAGTCAAGAGTCGTCAGATTTTTATGTGCTGAAAGTTTCTGATCCACAGTTTTGGAAAATAAACACGAGACGAACTCTTCCTCCATCTTCAGACCAATCTGAACCCCCACATAAAATTCTGCGGATCAGATCTAGAAAAAAAAAAGAAAAGAAAAGAAGAAGTCCGGTTTAATCTCTCTTTCGTCCACTAGAACACGATCTCCCTAAACTACAAAATTTCAATGTCAGACTGAAGAGGTAATAAAAAAAATGTTTGTATTGCAAATGTACAATATAAATTGTCGTGTGTTTAGAGTATTTATGTTTTATTTGCAGGTAGAGGATTAGATCGTGCTTGCAAGGCTGCAGTGAAAAAAATAGCATAAATAAATTTTAGTTCCTATTTGAAAGTCATTAGTAATGTCATTTAATGGGAGATCTATTTCGACTTAATTACAAAAGTAAATCTCATACCTGATATAGCTCTGATCGATTTGTTAATATGCCGAATTGGGAAAAGTAATTATGCTAAATGTTTTTTTTTCATAAATTATTGTCAAGACGAGACCTTTGCCTTAGTAACCTTTCTTTATTAATTATTATTGATATTGGAATTATAATCGTCCATTTCTGTGTTTTTATGTTGTTGATCTTTGACCTCGGGAATTATCTAATAAGTTACTACATAAAAATAAATAGCACGTACGATCTTGTCATTGTTTTCTCAGATTGTTCCCTTTTACTGAAATAACCTGCCCGCAAACTTTTTTTTCCAAACATTGCAGAATCGCAGTGTGAAGTCATAAAACAGGCTGCAACTTCTGCTCAGTTCAAACATACAGTCAGAATCAAATTGCACACATAAAGGTGTGTGTTAGTTATTGTGTGATTTTTATTATTATTATATATATCTTGCAGGAGGTAAAGGGACAGGAGACGGTTGCATCCGAAGGCCCTCGGATGAGGGAAATCACCCTCTAAGCCCACACAATGTCTTATTGACTGTAGCTTTGGTTGGAACCCTGATGTGATTACACACGATCAATAATAAACCTACCCCTCAACCATTTATAAATCTCTGCATCAGTTTGAGACGCTATAAAGCGTGTTCTTGTTGTCATCTGTTCTTTTATTTTGGGGGAAGGTGGTAGAAAGGGGTGCGGGGGATTCGGGGGGCGGAGGGGTCTTGCACTTGTGACCTCAGTGTTTTCCCAACTGTTTGTGTTGCCTTGCTCGGTGATTTCTGTATTTGGTGGGAGCTTTTAAACATATTGATTCCGGATTTAGCCACACTCCAATGTGCTTCCCGTATAAATGTTTAATTAAGATCATTTGACAAAACTGTTATATGCAGTCATGCAAGCTATTCTGGTGCATTTAATTATATGTAAATCAACAACAACAACAACAACAACAACAAAATTACTGCAAAGTAAAATTCCAGCTCCTCACTATACAGGCTTTTGCATCAGTGACAGAGATGACGTGCTTAATAATAGGATTAATTTATTACGACTTTACTACTTTTCACCGGATCAGACGCTTTTATTTGCATCATGATCGGGTTAAAACTTCGAAAGGTAGACATGAGAATTAAATTTTCACATTCAAAATACTAAATTATGGATGCTTCCGTGCGGAGGGATCAAGTTAAATGTTAATCAGTTAAGTTCTGGGACAAAGTTAACCTGGTCTGTTTTCACACCAATAATGCTGCTTTGATAAATTGTAAATATCGCCGCACCGCTGAGGGTTTTTACGTCCACGCTTTAATTCTGCTCTCCACGTTGCTTGGTTCACCATTCGCAGCTGAACGGGCAGTAAAGGATGAGCACCGACTGATCAGCCTTTTAATTCGGTGACACTATCGCAGAGACAAACGGACGGCTATCGATCTTTTCATTATGTGTTCGAGCAACAAATAGGCTCGTGTATGCGTGAGCGGGACGGGAGCGAGACGAGAGAGGCTCCCGTGTCCCGTTGCAGAATACAACCGAGCTTTAACAGCTTCTCTGCACTGTCTCATCCGCAGGGGAAAACGACGCAAAAGGATGTGGATAAACAGCTGCGGCGTGCATAGAAGGGGAGAGAGAGAGAGAGAAAAAAAGAAAAATATTCTGCTTTGCGCTAAGTTGAAAAGTTGCGACTCTTTCTTTTGCGTGCGCCGACAGTAAAGTGGCGCGACTCGGAGAATTCATCCCGGCGTTCAGTTCCACGCGTGTGCAGCCAGAGTTACGCAGAAGTCAGAAATAAACAACAGGAGAAGAAGAAGAAGAAGAAAAAAGTGCTACTCACCTTCTCTGTGACTGCACAGCAGCCGCTCCTGTACCGGTGCTTCATCTCCTTCTTCCAACATCCCACCCGTCCACTTTCTCCACATGCAGGTTTCTATCAGAGCCTCTCTAATATATCTACCCCGCTTCCTATTCGCTTCCCCCTCTCACTCTTTTTCTCTCTTCTCTCTCCTCTTCTTCCCTCATGCGGACCCCCATTCTTTTACCAAAATGTGCGGAGTTAAATCTTAATGATACACCAAAGGGGGAAGAAAGGGGGCAAAAAAATGCATTGTCCGATTTAATCTTATTGGTTTCACCTTTTCAGAGTGCTGGAGACATGGCCGGAGAGTTTCCATGGTGTGTGTCCGAGACAGGGACGGGGAGAGAGAGCTCTCTTATTGAATACTTAAAAAACAAGCCATCCCTCCTGAATGCGCATTCAAACAGAGGCACTTGCATATTAACGCTATGTTATATCTTCTTATATCTCTGTTTGAGTCTAGACGTGCCTATGCGTGCTTTGTTGTATTAAAGTACTTTTATGTCTTTGAGTGTTGGATTATTATTTCCTAAGCTTTTGAGTAAAATTTGAATTTTTTTTGTCTTTGTTTTATATAAACAGAGCGTAATTTTAATTAGGAAGCACTGTTTAAACATTAATTATGAATCATGATACTCTAATCAATGCATGTTTATGTTTTCTTAATAATTTATTAATGTCGTCCGATATCTTTAACCTGCGAAATTGACTTTTTACGAACTACAAAAGTACACAAGACAATTCTACGCACGTTCGAGCTTTTTAATTATTATTTAAGATCTATTTAAGCGCTTAAAAATGCAAGTTTGATGGCTTGCACGTTGGGGGTGTTATGGGGATGTAATTGCACAACGTACGCTAGATGGCAGCGCGATCCAGACATTTTTGAGTCTGAGAAGCCTGCAGGAACACTGATGCATAAAAGCTGGAATCTCCGTGCAAATTCCCGGTAACTTCGCTCGATTTTGAATTAATGTCATTATTAACACATAAAAAAAAAAAAAAACTATTCCTGTTGAAGTGTTTGTGCGACTGTGAGATGTTGGCGATTGTTAAACGTCTCACCGAATTTCAAGAGATTCCCCGCATCTGAAAAGGCTTCCAGCATAACGGCGGCGTGATTTGCGCATCATTCTGCACAGTGATATTTTTTCCTAAACTGCTCTTAAACTAAATTTTAAGTTTTAATGAGCGAAACTGGTGCCGATTACAGACGATGCTGTACCGCAATGCGCATGGCAAGGACAAAAATCAGCGTGTGAAAATATTAATCCGCTCCCAACAGCAGAGACCCCCGTTAGTTTAATAATAAAGATAACAGTCCGGGAAAGGGCATTTTGAAATTTTAGGGGGGGGGGGGGGAAATCTGAGTCAGAATCCCCCCTTTTGGTCGCAGCGCACAGCTTTTGGTTTTATTTGTCGTGCTTAAAAGCTTTGTCCCCCACCTCCTCTCTCTCTCTCTCTCTCTCTCTCTTTCTCTCTCTCTCTCTCTCTCTTGCCTTTAACCCGCTTTTTTTCGCTATTCTATCCAGGGTTTCTTCCTCTTTTTGGTGACAATAGACGGCCCATACTAATCAGGTTTCAAAGTAAATAGCAGCGCGGGGCGAGCTCAATGTAAATTGTGCCTGTCAGAGCCCCCCCACTCTCCTCCCAAGCCCCCTCCAGTCGTAGAACCCTACACTGTAAAAAATATCCGCCCTCAGACAGGCAGCCGGTTCAGCACCGGCGCCGGAAAATCCTGGCTGTGTACACAGACGGACCGGGTCGGCGGGTTGGATCTTGCGTCTTCGACTGCTGTCTTCGAAGACTGCTGCTTCGATCCGCCGTTGTGAATTTCCGGACTCTTGCCAATTTCTACGGGAATGTCTCTGATTCGAGACACTTTCCTGGCAACCTTATTTTAACCGCTTGTAGCGAGAGAGGAAAACAGGCAGAATACTGCAGAATGAGCGTGTTATTTCCCCGATAAACGGATAGAAAATATAACAATTTTGCGATCCAATAGCAGAGCGGGGGACTTATCTAGATGGACATTTTTTGTAGCGCCCTAACGGAGGGGGGGACTCTAACCAATGGAGAGAAAGAGAGGGCTTGGCTATAACCTTAGCCTCCCATTTTCTCTCTCCCTCTATCCCCCCCTCCTCTCCTCCTCCTCTATGCAGGGCTCTGGCCAGTCAGTCCTCTTTGATTATCAGTCTCCAGCAGCCCCTCTCTTGGCTCCTTGACATGAGCACCATATAAGGCGCAGCGATCTCCATAGAAACGTGTCAGTTTCAATAGTAGTGTCAAAGTTCACTATATACAGACATTCGCGCAGATCCCCCGTTTCGGAAACATTGCTCTGCTGGTCCTCTCGTTTAAGCGCATTCATTTTTTGGGGGTCTCTCCTTCTTCTTCTTCTTGCATATCCTATTAGTACTAGTTGGTGTTTTTCCTCTTTTTCTTTTTTTTTCCTCAATCTTTTTTCTCTTCGTATCTCCGTTCCTCCTCGCTGGAGAGAGGTGAAACTATACATGGGTACTTCATTCGGCGACGCGGTTCTCCTTCGCAGCTGGGCGAGATGATGAGGTTTATTTAAGAATATAGATGTAAAAAGCCCAGCTCTTCAGTTTTTTTTCCTCCTCCTCCTCCTCATATACGACGAAGACGGGAGTGTAAAGGAGCAAGGGGAAGAAAGGAGAAAGGAATTTATCTCCGCAGCACTTTGGATCGCGTCTTTCCAGCGAAAAGGTTTTGGTGTTTTTTTTTTTTTTTTACTCGCTCCTGCCTTTCTTTTGTGGCTATTATTTTTTTTTATCTGACTGCAATTTTTACGTCTGGACTCGGGTTTTCCTACAAGCTTAGGGATTCCTGAATGGCTGACTGCAATTTACCTTGGAACTGGCCTCCCGATACTTGCATATCCTGATCGGGTGCCTCCTGATTTTTGAATGTATTGATCGCGTTTGCTCCCGTTCTTACCCCCCATATGAGATTGCGTGCTCCGATTTGACTTTGCACTGTCCCGTCTTTTGAGATTTTTTTTCTTCCTCCTCTACGCTCCATAAACATCGGCGATCATTTCGCTTTACAGCACTTTCCGGGGCCGAGATATGGCAATGGTAGTTAGCGTCTGGCGAGATCCGCAGGAAGACGTGGCCGGAGGACCTCCGAGCGGCCCCAACCCAGCAGCGCAGCCGGCGAGGGAGCAGCAGCAGGCGGCGTCGGCGGCGCCGCACACTCCGCAGACCCCCAGTCAGCCGGGACCCCCGTCCACGCCGGGGACCGCTGGGGACAAGGGGAGCCAGAATTCCGGACAGAGCCAGCAGCATATTGAATGTGTGGTTTGCGGGGACAAATCGAGCGGCAAACACTACGGCCAGTTCACCTGCGAGGGATGCAAAAGTTTCTTCAAGAGGAGTGTACGCAGGAACTTAACGTACTCATGTCGTGCCAATAGGAACTGTCCCATTGACCAGCACCATCGAAACCAGTGCCAATACTGCCGGCTGAAGAAGTGCTTAAAAGTGGGGATGCGGCGGGAAGGTGAATATATGTTTTAAAGCCCCACTCATGATTACGCATCCTAGTATAGCAGCAGCAGTGCGAGGGCTGCCATGTTGCATTAAGGTCACAGGCTTTATAGCTGGGCATATACCTACTACAGCAGACTTCATCCTTGTTTTGTTTTTTATTTATATATATATATATATATATATATATATATATATATATATATATATATATATATATATATATATATATATATATATATATATTTTTTTTTTTTTTTGGGGTGTTTTTATAAATTGTTTTGTTTTTTTTTTTTTTTGTGGGGGGGGAAAAA